TTTATGGGTTGGTTTTCATCAAGGGCAAGGATGCATGTTATAGGACATGAGAAGTTATCAGAGTTCTGCAGCTTCTGTAGCAAGCCCAACAGTCCCTGGCATCACTGGCAACAGGCCTATTATATCTCAGTGTCAGGGCAATCTCTGCCCTTGCTTGTGAAACCTCAAACTAGGCCTTATGCAACACAAGCAATCCCTCAACTTGCCAGTGTAGCTGGAAACTCAGGATATGTTTGAAAGTAATCTAATACATCAACTAACTTAATAGTTGAACCGTGGTGGCCGAAAGTGCTGCCAAGTTGCAGCCAATTTATGGTCACCCTTGAGGGTCTTCAAGGCGAGAGACATTCAGAGGTGCTTTGCCATTGGCCTTTTTTCTTAAAAACGGGGGGGGGGGGATAAGGGGAAAAAACTTAAAATCCAGAAACTAAATAAGACGTTTTAAAAAAGAATATATACACACACACATAAAGGCAAGACAAAATCTAACATAGTGGTGGCAGATCTATAGAAAAGTTTCTATAAACAGTTTACAAATATCCATTGCCTGCCTCTATGTCATAACCCTGGACTTTCTTGGTGGCCTTCCAACTAAGTACTAACCAAGACCAATCTTCTTAGCATCCGAGATCGGGTGAGATCAGGGTAGCCGGAGCCATCTAAGTTAGGATCTATAGTTGAATAGGCAAGGAAACAATTGCAAACAAAACAAAAATAATGTGAGGGGGGGAATCAGAGATAACCAACCAGCCCAAAGCAGAAAAAGAAACAGAAGCTGAGGGACAGTAAACAGGAATATAAGAAAAAATAATGTATTCTTACGTTCAACTGAATACAAGAAAATAACTAACAGATTGCAAACTGTAAGTCATTTCAAAACAGAAGTATAAAGTACAGATCACAATCTCACCATAATCAGAATTAGCCTTTCCAAACCAAACATTCAACATAAAAGTTGAAACAAAAAACTTGCTAAAATCAAATGTGTTTGGACTAAAAGATAACTCAGCAGTGCTGGCAGGCAGCATGTTGCAGAAGTACATATCTAGAGTGTGAAAACAGCAACACCTAACATTAAAAAAAAAAAAAACCTATGATCAAGATGCAAGCTAACACTATCTCTTATAAAAATACAAATGGCCCTTATGAGCCATAAGTCCAAAAATAACATGTATGGTGTATAATTAGGGGTCTGCATTCAGCTAAAACAATCTGGAAAAAACCCTGAAAAACACAGTACTGGTATTTTCCAGCTGCTCCTGCTACAAAAAGAGCCCTGCCGATAAATCCAATCCTCACCAAACTTGGAGAGCGGGTAGAGGAGAGTCATCCAGAGATCCCCTGCAAGTTTTGTGTCTCTAGCACACAGGGAGGGCAATCTACCACATAATGAACTTCACAACCCAAACCAGTTCATCTAGTCAGGATTTTTCAAGACTGCCGGATAGCCAGACTGGCATTTAAAGGGCTCTCAGTCCCTGTATAAATGCCTCCCGGTTGAAGCCATGGCTTGGAGAAGACATTTAAAGGGAAGGCAAGCCTTTTAAATGCCTTTGTAGTTCAGCCATGGCTTGCAAAAGGCATTTAAAGGGACCTCCTTTTTCCCTCCATTGGAAACAATGGAGGATGGGGGCACCTTATTCTGGGGCCCATAGAATTGGACCCCCTGGTCCAAACGTTTTGAAATTTGGGGGGAGGGTTGAGGACAGGCACCAGCAGCTATGCTGTGAATTTGGTGCCTCTGCTTCAAAAAGCGGCCCACACACAGAGTGTCAAATTCCCCTGCCTCAGTTCTCCATTATACCCTATGGGGAACATGGACTATAATTGTCCCCATAGGATATAATGGAGCCAAAAAAAATTGAAAATCCTGAATATTTACCAAATTTGAATACCATACCAGTATTGGGATTTGGGAATATTGGGAAATTCGAATATTTTTTGGGTTCAATATACCCAAACCCAAAAAACAGCAATTTATTTGGGGTGGGGTGGGGTTGCACACTGCTAGATATAACAATTAAATTACAGAACACTATTGTGACTTTTTATAAATTAGGAATGCTACAGGCCTAGCTTGTAGGATCTTGAGCATGACCAGAACACTATTGTGACTGTTTATAAATTACGAATGCCACAAGATTATGAAGAATATTATTGCCAAAGTTTTTTTGGAAAACAAAATGCACCTCTCTTGTTCTGACCACGGTTTGTTTTCACCAGGCAGGGTACAAGGATTATAATCACCAACATCATTTCTTTATTGAAATATTGACATCCCATATTTCCCATATGGGCTCTATGCAGCTTATATCAATGCATCAAAAACACAATAGAATCACATTATTAAAATCAACAAAAATTTTACTCCTCCATAACTACCCTTGTTATATGGACCACCAAATGCTTTATTATTGATAATGTGCTGATAATTGCTAGATAAGGCAAAACAAAAAAATGAAAAGTAAAATACATTTTGCCCAAAAGTTTACAATCTGCAGGTCAAATTTCTTCCAAGGGGCTTGCATAGAATGCACCCAATTGCAATAAAACACAGGGCCTTTTGCAGTACCTATACCAGAATGTAGTCCTGACCTGGATGGCCCAGGCTATTCCAATCACGTCAGATCTCAAAAGCTAAGCAGGGTTGGCCTTGGTTAGTATTTGGATGGGAGACCACCAAGGATGTCCTGGGTTGCGATGCAGAGGCGGGCAATGGCAAACTACCTGTGGATGTCTTGTCTTAAAAATTCTTCAGGATTGCCATAAATTGGCTGAAATTTGATGGCACATTCCAAAACCACCATATCTGAATGAGACACTATCATCAGACACTCAACAAAGAGAAGCTGGCAAAAACAAAATCAGAACTCCTCATATAAAACTTTTCTGAATTCAACTAAGTAACTGACCACTTGTCTACATACCTGGACATCGTCTTTGTACCAAGTGATGATGGGGAAAGGTGTGCCAGACACCTCACAGAACAGACTTAGTGGCTGGCTAATTGTCACAGATGCATTTGTCACCTGGTCCTGATCCCTGATTTCAGGAGGCACTGCGCAAGGAAAATACATTGAATATCTATGCAAGCATACACATTTGACACTTAAACGCAAAAGATGATTTTGGTTTTTAAAGAAATCCTCAATCCTGTTTTTAACATTTCTTCTGCCAACACCCAAACTTCAGGCAAGCATTAATTAATAAAGACTTGGTTTAAAACAAAAAAGAGTTGCAGAATATATTCTAAATGTATCCATAACATACATGACACCTTTTTGTATGCATTAATGAATGTCAGATGTTTATTTACCATGAACTTTCAAATTATAATTCCTTTCCATGCTTCCAGCTTCGTTGACTGCGACGCACACATACTCTCCATTGTCATATGGTGTGACTGAAGCAATGACCAGTAGCCTTCCATCTTCCAGGATTGAAATGCCAGGTTCATTGCCTGTCAGCTCCCTGTTGTTATGAAGCCATTTTATAACAGGTTTGGGGGTACCTATAGAGAAGGACAAACACTATACATGACTCCTGAGTTGCAGATTCAAGAAAGAAAGGTAGCATTGATGAAGAAGTTCATCAAAAGCCTTCAATTTACCTCAGTTCAACACCACACTATTCTGTGGATAGAAGACCCAGTGGCAAAAGCATTTTAAGGAAACAGTGTACTCCAAGCTTGCAGAACATCAGCACGTGTGAATTTTAGAATGACATATGTTCTGTTAAGTTTGCCTGACAGACCAGAGTGCTCGTTCCTAGCGAAAGGTTTGCTCCAAAAATTCTACACCAGCTCCAGGAGTCTTATCTCCACTACCACCCATAAAAGGACACATAATTTCAGCTTTTAGGGCAAAGTGTCTCTATCCTACCCTTCTTGCTGATATAATTCTGTTTGGCAGAAATGCTTTGTATGGAGGAGGATTTCATCATGTGGGCCCCCACTTGCACCCTGAAGTGTCATAGCCCAGACACAGGTCAATCATTTCAGTGAAAACTAGGCCTCATAGACAATTAATAGTTCCAAGGCAAAGCCATCCTTCTTTAAGGCAGTTGATAAACCTATCTAAACATGAGATCCGGTTCCGTTACGGTGTGACGACGGGTGGCTCTCAGATTACTCCGAGCCGCCTGACTCCCTTTCATTCCTTTTTGAGTCTCCCGGTAGTCAGGAGAGCTAGACCAGCTCTCCTGGAGAGAGGGCTGGAGCAGGGGGCTTGTTTTTTGGCCCCTCCCGCAATCAGCAATGCGGGGGGAGGTGACCAATATTGCCCCGAAGTGGGAGCGATCGGCGGGGTAGAGCATGGCCGCCATGTTCTACACAGACGCAGCCATCCGTTTTAACCATGCTGGGATTTAAGATTTATAACAATAGCAGCAACACAGAAGAAGAAGTAAAGAAAAGTGTGAGTACATATACTTTGAAGTTTTAAGCAGAGAAGAAAAATGAAATTATCCCCAAATAAATGTGTCCAGATTCGAGAAGGATAGCGGCCGGGAGACATACGGGAGTTAACTTTGTGTCTTTATTTTTCTTGGGGAAAAGAAGCACTACGCGTAGGCGTTTTTGCCTTTTGCTGTTTCTGTTCATCGGCAAGGATCTATAAACGACAATGGCTGGCAGAAAGGTTACAGGCTAATGAGAACGTTTTGGAACTTGAATGAATTACCTTGGAGAGTTTGATTGAAATGGTGTTTGTAATGAGGACGGAGGAGGAGATTGATGAGAACATGGAGGTGGGGGAGATGATTATCGAACAGTTTCTCAGAGTTCTTAAAGAGGCAGTACAAAAGCATGTGCAAATTTACTGAAAAAAACGCATAACATCCAGGTAGAAGCTGAAAAAAAAGGAAGAGCAGGAGCAACCCATTGTGAAGGAAATCCTAGATGATTGGCAAAAGGAGAACGGTGACTACTCTATGGCAGAAAATCTGGGGACTCTACAAGAGAAAGACCATACAGAAACCCAATATCCTTTAACTGAAATAGTAAGAAAGAGACCAAAAAAAAAAATCTTGTGCAAAGTTAGAATTGCCAAAAGAAAATAGACAACGACTGAAAACTGAAAGAGAAGGAAACAGAAGGATAAAAAGAAGGAAATAACGGGCTTGGAA